AAGGCAAATTCAATATTGCCCTGAATGTACTGTGGCTTTTGTATCTAAGTATAGCATCATTCGTCCAGATGGACAGTAGCTTGGGGAGAAACCACATGATTTCAGGAAATGACTAGTGTTGCTTGAGCTAAAATCCTTCTTTAACAATTTATTTGGCAGTGATTAATGTAATCACGTGACCAGCCATATCAAATAAGACTTTTGAAGTTTCAACAATTATCAGCCCAGATTTGTACTTGGTATTGAATGTGATGTGAACAGTATATTGAAGCAATGTGTTTGATCCACTTTAAAATTACAGATACATTAGATAAAGATGTATAGTTTGCACAACACGTGTTTCTCACAGCAAGGGCTATTTGGGTTATTTTGTACGTGCAGTCTGCATCACTCGAGGTAATGATTAACTCTTTTTCTGCTGAGTAAAAACAGTGTGTACACTTGCATAATAAATACACTGATTAACGCTTGAGTGTGTTCCAGGGCAAACACTGACGTTTGTATAAAATAAAATAGTGATCTGATCATTTCAACATTTCAGAACCAAACACTCCTAAACTTCACAGAACTGTCTCCCAATATTTCACTGTGTGCGAGAACCTAGATGATTTAAATCTGAAGACTGGCTTAGTTTAAGCTGAGCAGCTGACTTAACCTACTTCAAATGGCATTAATGACTGAAAATGATCCAGTAGCCAATTGCCCTTATCACTCACGTTATTAATGTATATTTTTAAAATGAAAATCATTGTTGTTTTTTTAATACAAAATATTAAAAAATGGCAATAATGGTATCGATTATGTACATAAGATTTTAAATGCGACAGAGAAATTAAAGCCAGAAGAATACTTTTGGATGCGTCAAGACAGCAGAACAGGAGGGCACATCATTATGGGCTGTGAAGGGCAATTTCAGGACAGACACCAGGAAATATTTCTTTACAGTGGGTAATTAATGACTGGAACAGGTTACCAAGAAGGGTTGTTGAGGCCAGAATGCTGGAGTCATTTAAAATAAACACTCGATGCTGAGAGGATGGTAGGGTGGATGTTCTTGAAAGGATGAGATCAAATGAGCCGAAGGGCTTTCTTCATCCAAATCTCTTGTGATCTATTAATGGTTCAGAGTATCTGTAAGTTAGCAATTTAGACCTTTGCTGCACCTGATCCTTACTTAACAACCCATGTGTATGCAGACAAAAGTGAACTAGCAATTATTTTTTAAATGGTACTTAATAGTTTTGTACCGACTGAAGGTTTGTTCCACACCAGGTAATTAGTACTTCCTATTAAGGCTCCTGTGTGCTGACAGCAAGTACAACTACTTGGGAAAGACTGCATTTATAACCTGACCAAGGAACAGATCCACGTGAAAGTTTGGGTAAAACTAGGTGGCCTCATATTCAGCTTGGAAACCTTTCTTTCAATTGTTAATCTTCAGTGGGATAACCTGACTGTATGAGTTTCTTGACTTGAGCTTTACAGAGAAATCCAACAGATGGTTTGTCCTGTAGTATTTTTTTGTGCCCAATCATTTGGAAAATGCAAGCAAAATGTGTTACAGGGAATTTGGCGGTAACTAACACGATTAATTTTGTCAGCGAAGAATTTCTTTATTTGCAGTAATATAATTTGTTGTATTATCATGAGAATTCCAATGACGTTTACAACTATTGTGTTGGCTGTAATGCTATACTTTCTTCCTCTCTCCATTCATTCACTGTCTGATGCTGATTATTGGCATTACACCAGATTTGTTACTTGTTCTTGACTTGTATTTAATATACAATATACTGTATTTCCATAAGACTGCAGTGGGATAGAACAATAGTAGTCTGGTGACAACAGCACAGATTCTTGTTGCAGAGGCCATTGTTTCTATTTTGTTTCTTTCATGTCAACCAACAATGATTGAAAACCACTGTTCAAAAAGCAGATCTTTCTTTTTTTCTGGTTTGAATTGGATTTAATCCGCCAAGATGTTTTGCAGTCTGGAACAATGTGGATAATATTGCCACGAGTAATGCAGTCTTTGTGACTGCTGAAACTATTGTATCTTTCTCCTTGGATATCAAACTTTTATTTTCAAATCCTATTTTTTCAGTATATTTGGTAACTCACGAAGTGGATTATATTTTTGATTAATTTCGATGATCTTGAGTCAAAGTAGATTGAACTTTGCATGTAAATTGACAAATGTATTTAATTCTTAGATGGCAATTCAAAGTGACTTTATGGTAATTAATATATAATTTTCAGGATTAATTCCTTTTTTGTTTGAGATCCGGGGAAGCTCCTTTCTCAATGTATTTATTATAGTTTGCCTTTCTCATAGGAACATAGGAACAGGAGGAGGCCGTTCAGTCCTTTGAGCCTGTTCCGACATTTAATTAGATCATGGCTGATCTGTACCTCAACTAATCTTTTCAATTCTAATTTCCCACTTTCTCCCCATATCCCTTAACACCCTGACCTACCAAAAATCTATTAACCTCACTCTTGAAGGTGTGGATGGATCCAGCATCCACGGCCTTTTGGGGGAGAGAATTTCAGATTTCTACCACCATTTGAGTGAAAAATTGCTTCCAGATTTCACCCTTAAATGACCTAGTTCTAATTTTAAGACTATATACCCTTGTTTGGATTCCCCCACCAGAGGAAATAGCTTCTCTGTATCTACCCTATCGAATCCCTTTATCATCTTAAATACCTCAGTCAAATCACCCCTCAACCTTCTAAACTGAAGGGAATACAATCCAACTTTACGCACCTTTCCTCGTACCTTAACCCTTTTCGGCCTGGTAACATTCTGGTGAACCTGCGCTGCACTCTCTCCAGCGCCAATATATCTTTCCTGAGGTGTGGTGCTCAAATCTCAACACAATACTCCAGATGGGGTCTGACTAACGCTCTGCACAGCCGAAGCATCATTTCTTCCTCTTTGTATTCCAGGCCCCTGAGATAAAGGCCAACATTCCATTCACCTTTTTGATTACTTTCTCCTTATCTTCTCCTTTTAGTTATGGAATTTACAAAAGTGTTGCCATAACCTTAGTCAATTGCATTAACATTCATATTAGGGGAACTTTAATCAAGGCACAGTTCATTAAAATACTTCACTTTTAAGCCTGGGACATAGAAACAGAATAGGCCATTCAGCCCCTCAAGCCTGTTCTGCCATTCTATATGATCATGGCTGATCTGTACCTCAAGTCCAATTACCCACCCTTGCTCCGTATCCCTTAATCCCCTAACTTAACAAATATCTATCCACCTCAGTCTTGAAGATTTGAATGGGACTTACATTTGAACTAACTATTCTGATGATACAAAAATCTTCTCAGCTTCCTGAGAATACCCAGTGAAGGAGTTTGAACAGCCGCAAACATACGTTTATTGAGAATGAGTCAACAGCACAAATTTAGTACTAAACTGGCAATGACACTATGGAGACACAATTTTCTTAGTATGAAAATGCCATGCTGGTGCAGTAGGGTGCTCTAATTATTGGATCATGCACAGTCCCTTTGCTGTGGATTGACCTGAGCAGAGAGTGCATGGTGGTGACATTGAAATTGACACAAAAAGAGTGAAAACTATTCTTTGCTCAATGCTGATATTCTCCACTATGATTATAACTCGTGCTGTATTATTGGTAAGATTGGAAAATCAGTCCTCAAATTCTTTTTATTAATATCACCGTGCCTGGAAGCTCAGAGGTGCCTCAGAAAGAATGAATTAAACTAATTTGGCTTTGGCTGGGTTTTGTGTGTCTTAGCTTCGATGGATCCCAGAATTCCAAACATTCAAATTTGCATCTCAAAATATACCCATACAATATTCATGTGGAAAATATTGTTTGCCAAAAAAAGAAAAATCACCATAATGGGTTTCTTGATGACCAAGTGGCTAAGTGCACTCTCATGTGATACTCAGTTGTATGACAGGAAAGCTCTGAGTTGCATTTCCACTGATAGCTTCATAATTGCAGTAGATGGTGGCCACACCTCAAACTGAGTTTACTTAAAAACATGTTTTATTTTCATATGAATACGGAATGATGTTGCGGTGTTTTATCACGCAGTGGCCTCTTTAAAACAATGAGGGGTAAGAAACAAATCTTATCATGCAAGAATGTGCTTGTAATTCTCTTTTTAAAAGAAGGGGATGTAACATTGATTCATCTATTAATAACGTCAGAGATTAACATGTCACAATGTAATGATTAACATATACATTGCATTAGCACATCTATTGTCATATAACTAGTAGAGTGAAAATAAGCAATCTATTTCCTGTTCAGTCACTTTAACACGGAAGCATACTTTCAAATTCTACTGGCTTTCTTATGCATTCATATTGATATTTAAATTTTACTGCATCATCCTTTTAACAAATAAATTGTATCAATGCTTGTGAAATGATATGTAACAATCTAAAACATTTCAAAGATTTGTAAATTGAATTACACAGAATATGCCATTAATCTTGTGGAAATGATCTTTTAATCTCAGACATGGAAATTATTTTGTATCTCATTAAACATTTTAAGCCTTGCGATGGATGTGTAAACCTAAACGTAATTTTCTACCATGGACAAAGAGCGGTGTCTGATGAAATGAATGATGGTTTTAAATCACCATTTCTCTGAAATCTCATTACCACTGCAGAGAGAATACAGTGACTATACTGCAGCATCACCATGGAAACTGCTGGGAATATTTAGGTTTCAAACAGTCTATTTTTCTGCATTTCCCTTCCTTGTTTCCAGTTGTTTTACCTTTACTGATTTTTCCTTCTACTGGAACATAAGTATATTATACGACCTTGTCAGATTCACCACCTCTGACTCCTCTCTATGAGTCTGTTTCAGTAAATGGTTCTGCTTCGCACAGGTGAATTCACAGTGCAGTTGTAGCTAAAATTGATCTCATTGATTATATTGATTCTTGCCTTGAATTTATTCTCATTAATTAATTCTCATCAATTTCATCTTTCAGGTAGTTAGGATCCATTAAAGCAGCTCTGCCAATTTCAGGGTCACTGCATTCTTTGGAGTAATAAATGCAAACTGGCTTTACAACATTGAACTTGGTCTGGCAGAGAGACGTGCACTGCTGATGCTACATTCTTCATAATGAAGATACAAGCAAGAATACCTGTATTATCTCAACTCTCATTTCCACGCACAAGGGATTGCTGAGATTACAAAACGTGCTGTCATAGTGAGAAAAAACCCTCAAAAGAAACATCTAATTTCTTGACTATGAATTTAAAGGACGCCTTTGTTTGATTGTCATGATCTGGAACCCACAGTTACTTGTAAGTATCTTTAATTCATATCTATGTTTTTGTCTGCTTCGGGATGTTTAGTGATCATTTAGCTCCAATTTACACGTTTGTGATAGAAATCCAGTGATACTTTGTGCTAGAAATCCAGTGATACATTGCAAATATGTCTTGCAATATGAGATCCTGAATTTTATTAAGAATGTTGCTCTCTTTTGCATACATATGCAAAACTGTTCAATGCACCAGAAGGGAGCTTATATCAAGAATGCATTTCTTACAGAAACACTTTGTGCCTTTCAGACAAGTGGAGGTTTTTGCACAATCTGAACTTAAATGGTTAAACGGATTGTGCAGCAAGATTCAGTCGTGCTTCATTCATACGAAAATGGCAAAGACCAAATCTATTACTTTTTAAGAGATAAGGAGCACCTTGAATTCAAGTGAAGATAATATGTTCATTCATCCTGCTGACTTGATTCGTGTAAATTGAGAAGCCATGGCTCTTTTAATTCAGGTTCCTGCCTTTCATTTGAAATACTTGTCGAGGACATCTACTGTTCCTAAATACTGCAGTAGAATGTGCTGATATTTAGCTGTTAAACTGAAATGCTAGGTGAATATCTAATCAAGTTGGGTAGGACTGTCATTAATTATTTACTGGTATCCATGGACATAAATTATTTAACACTTCTCTGTCTTCAAGATGTATTGGAAACAAGGTGACCAGATTCAACAGTATTAGTATTTTTGTTTGAAGATAACCAATTCTGTTCATTTGGATCTTTATTACTTATTTCTGCAGTTGAAGGTCAGCCTGAACAAAAATAACAAATATTTTGTCCTTCCTGATTTATTTTCCGTTTTTTTTCTGTTTACGCCAGTGTTATTTTTATTTATTTTTGTCACAAAAACAAAGTAAATGTATTTTGTTTGAATTTCTAATCATTGAAAATGTTCCCCTGTAGCAAAGTGATCAGATAATATGTATTTCTGCTAGTTGCTTTTAAACCCAGAGATCTGTTACAGCATCTATTTTGCATGCTAAGGAGAATTGAACAAAGAATGCTGAACAGCACACTGTTGTCCCAGGATCTCATTTCTATGATTTTATTAAAATAATGTTCCCCTATTCCCACCCCTCTTCATGAAACTTTTTCTTGACTTGTTTCCTCATTTGCAAGAGACGAGAGTTCTTTTGATAGAAGTAAATAAACTTTACGTAAATATTTTTTTTAAATTTGCACAGAGCTAAAAGTGGTCTTTGCTTTCAACCTGCAATTTTGTTCAACATAAAAGGAAAATTCCTTGTTGGGTTCAAAACGCCATGGGTCATTCCCTCTGCTTAGAGAACAACACAACAACCATTGTACAAGTGCAAGGTTGCTGAAGTTGCAGAGCTTCTGTTCACATCTGTAATAGGGAACTTGCCTCACTACTGATAAAGCAAGAGGAGATTTGCGGCCAAGGATTGTGTATAGCATATTTTGATTGCTTTATAGCACTACAGCTAAGCTATAGAACTGATGCAATAAGTGAAGGTTTGAGACCAAAGATTATGTAAAACACATTTTGCTCATGGTCATTACATAAAATAACTACAAAAAATGAATACCTTTGAGTGTGAACCAAAAAAGCTTTTTTGGGAGAACAGTACTGTATAATCCGCTTGTATCCTCAGTTCTATTTGCAACTAGGAAACCAGAATTGATTTGAATGCATCAGACTGCTGTACCTTGTATCTAGGCTCAGATTGTTGAAAACCAAATGAAATATTGATCAAAAGTTAAGCTTACAGAAACTCTTAAGCCAAGAAATAAAATGTGTGAAATAAAACATTACAGACGGATCTTTACCAAATTGAAAACGTTTGGAAAAAATGTATTTTATTCCCGTCTTCTGCAGGGAATTAATTCCCCATACTTGTGAATGTGCAGGGATTGTCTGCTAGCAGATCAATTCAAACTTAAATCATTAGAAATATGACAGGACTGGATTCCATCATCCACACCGTTTGAAAAAAAATGTGGGTTAACTGAGAGATTTTAAAATGCAATAAATAAATAATAAATCTGGGAAACCTAGTTAGTTATCGTTTGCTAGAAGTACAATTTTCACAACCCATCTGTTGTGATTGTGAGACAGCCAGTCGCTGGGAAACAGCTCATAACATTTTGTTGACCCCTTTCAACAAGTTAAATAAGTGTTTAGAGTCTAACTATGCCACATGCAGCTGTGCAATAAGTATTTTAATTATGTATGTGCGATATTGGTAAGCAAATAAATATGTGCTTCTTTGAGCCAGTTATGAAAATCATGCTGTAATTTCAATGTGTACCAATATACATGTAGCATGTGTGTTTTAACTACTCTATAATTCCTTGATGCACGCATTCAATTACTACATGGGAAGTAAAAATAGAGGCTCAACATTACAGTACCTGTGCGCAGCATCAATATGCATAGATGGAGAAATGAGATGCCACACAGAAAGATTCATTCCGTGATGGATCATTTTTTCATAGATCCTGGTACTGTGCTCCCAGTAGATCCTGCAAAGCCCAGAAACTCAATTGACACCAGTACATGTGTATATACATTGTGCTGATGTTCAGTTTGACCTGAAAACATGGAAGGAACAATACATTGCAACTATTTCATATGCATGTGGGTTGCATTTCAATTGCAAAGAAACCACACAGTAACATTAAAAAACAAATGATTACGGTGAGTTACATTATGACTTATTGACATAAGAAAACAATATATTAGGTTGGTGTCACAGAGCTAATGACCTCCTCCAAATTTCTACACTGCAAACTACAGTACATACCAGTTTATCTATGGATTGTAAGGAATTATACCTCTAATACGGCACTATGAAATGTCTATAATTCTGGGTCTCCATGCCAACATTTTGGCATAACATCTGTATATGGATATGCTTTGACCCCTATAACTATATAATGCAAAATTCAAGTATTCAACCTCAGCTGATGGTATTGGTGGATTGCTATTGACTGCTCTGAAGTACATGTCAGACAAATGACTTATGTCTTGCATTTTGTGCCTTGCCTGTTAATCCTCCTGTTTCCAATATATATGGCACATGTAGCTGAAGTTGCTTCACTTGAGTTGGGGACTGAATCAATTGCATTATGGATTGGGAATAATTGCTGTTCTTGATGCACCATGAAAACTGCCACCAAAGGTTCAGTATATGCTTTTTCGCTTCTCATTGTGCAGAAATTATTCCAGAATTTATTGATATATTTCTTGTAACTGCACTCTTCCTTCACCACTGATGAATTCCAAACTCGGTAAAAGAACATAAAAGGTGGGGACTTTGTCGAGCTGAAACTTTTGATGACACACCGTCACATCTCCTGTCAGTATTCAAGGCCCAGTTGACAGTTGTGGATTGCTATCTGTAACTTCAAACATAGTTAAATAAAGTATAAGCATTTTCCATACATAGGATATTCAATGAGGTGTCTACATCTGTATTTTCATCCTAACCGCCTAAGGTGTGGGACATCCTATTTACAGCTCAGTTATGCTTTATTCTATTTCTGTTGTGCATTGTTGTACCACCAAAACTTGTTCCAAAGTTTAAAAAATTTGAATAAGATTTCACATCTCCATTAAAATGTAATGAACATTGCACATCTATTTGTAGACGATCTCATCTGTCTCCCAGTTTCATAAAGCGATACCTGTTGTTCTGTGCGGGATCTGATGTGATCTGACTTCCTTCGTAGTGACTACTGATCTAATTTTGTTCACTGCTTTTAGAAATGAGGCATGAAGGTTAAATTATGATTGTTTCATAAAGAGCTGTTAACAAGCAAGGAGTGTTGAGTAACATGAAACTGGATTTATTACAGCTGACAGCAATCTGCTGCACAGTGCAACACTAAAACCTTTTGCTCACAATGGGGTCTGATTTACTAGATCTGTAAATTGAAAATCCTGCTGGGATGTTTGAGATGCCTTCTTAGGCTGACCTGCTAGAGTGCCACTTGGACTTTGATCTCTGCTGGAAATCAGATTCAGCTTTCTATGTTGCCAGTTATTAAATGAATACAGTGAAAAGTTAGTAATGCTGCAGATTGAGTGTTTGCTGCATCAGGAACTTCTCCTGCAAATTGAATTGGAAAATGTAATCTCTATTATAAATCAATACAGATTATTTTTATAAGTTTTTTTAATATGCATATTTAGGTGGCCATTTATCATGAAGTCTGATTATAGTAACAGTAATAATAATCCTTGCATTTGACATAGTGCCTTATCACGTCTTCGAGACGGCTCAAAGTAATTCACAGAATATACTGTAAAGCGAATTGACTATATTTTGTAGGTGAAACGTGGCAGCTAATTGCACACAGCAGTGTCCCACAAACAGTCATGGATTGAAGTGACCAATTTTTTTTTGAAGTAATTATTACCCCCTGGAAAAGTGATCCGCCAATCGACTAACAAGTCTATTCTATTTACAGCAAGGAAAACAGGTGTGTGGAGTCAGAAAACTTGCCTAACATTTCACCCTACTGGGAATCAAACCTACGTCTCTCGCTTGCGAGGCGGGTGCTGAGCCACAGGACTCCCATCTTCCAATAGCAAGTGGAAGATGTTCTATTTTATATCTAATGCACTAAGGAATTCTAGGTTTACTACAGTACAAATTAGTTGCATCCCTGATCTCAGGTTTCATGTTTGTTTCATTTTGTAATAATTTAGAGTGGCAAAAATGAGGAGCAGAATTCAGGAGTTTGTACTGATAAGGGAACATCACTTTTTTTTAATAGGAAAGTGTTTAATAAGAAAATGCAAAGTTCCTCCCAGCAATAAATGGAGTAGTGAATCTTAATAGAATAAAAGGACAAATGGAGCTTATTTAAACAACAACAACAACAAGATTCCATTTATAAAGCGCCTTTCACTTCAGGAGGACGTCCCAAGGCGCTGCACAGTTGGGTCATGACCCGAGCAGGGGGGAAATGGTCAGGGTGAGGGGAGGGAAGGGAGGG